GTTTACTTATCCTTCAAAGCACAAATATCACGACGGAGTTGTAACAGTGATGCAGTTTCTCTGTACAGTAGTTCTTAATGTTGCAATTTATTCAGAAATAAATTTATGTTATAATGTGCGTCCTCTTTGCCTTCCTAAAAAGTTCATGAATGTTCTGTGGTTTTTTTGACCTATTAAATAATATTTGCCTGCCATGCCTGTAGCTTCTCGAAGCTCTGCTGCTGAATGAAAAATCTGCCCCATGGCCCTGACCGAAACAAGTCAGAGCAAGCTCCACATCTTACCTCGGTACCAAAGCTGTGGCTTTACTCAGGTTCCACCATTCATGCAAGTGATACAAGGCTAATCATAACATTCTTAGTATCACAGTAAAATGAAATCACACGTTCATTGCTAAGAGTGAACCCCAGAATAACTCCCAACATACCAAACCTCTATTAGTGCTCACTCCAGCTGCTTTCAGTGCCTGCAAAAGTGGGCAAGGGGCTGGGGAGACAGATGTTCAGGATTTTCTTCTGCTTGTTTAAGTTTGCACAGGTATTTACTGCCCTACTGCCTAGGTGTAAAGGTATTTCTGCTAAACAGAAAAGGAAAACAACACTTTGCCAAGTAAATCAGAACAGGACTTGTCCACCATTAAAAGAAGCTGAAAAAAAAATTAAAGTCAATGTTAAATACACATAAGAACTTCGTACTACATACAAGTGTAGGTAAAAGTCACAGAGTAAATTATATGTAGTTCAGCCTCTCTGTATACATGAGCATGATGCAGGTTGTTAACATCACGAGGGCACAGAAGGGGCGGCTGCTCACCATCTTTCCCAATACAAACTAGGACCCAACAAATGAAACCCACACCAGCCAGATCCAAAGCAAAACGTGTTATCAAACGAAGGGATGCAAAACTTGTACATCGGTTCAAGTGGGAGCTGGGTAAGTACTTGAAAGAGGCACCACAATTTACTAAATAAGACAAACCCTACAAGCCTCAGGAGATGCCGTGGCCATCAGAAGCTGCCCATGGGAGCAGCGGGCATGCATGCCTCGGCACCTGCTGCAGCGCTGGTCCCAGCCACCTCCTGACTCTGCAAGAAGGCTCCAGGGGAAGGTGCTCCCCACCCTGGTGTTGACTCTGCCACCCAACTAATGAAGAGCAGAATTTGGCCTGTAGATACAGGAATACAAACACAGCAGAATTACCTATTGAAAAACAAGTTTTAAAAAAACTTCATTTTTAGTTTGGTTTTGTTTAGGGTGCTTTTAATGTTGGGATCATTAGAAACTGAAAAACTATAATCTACCACAATTTTGCCATACCACTGAAGATTTTCATAGTGTCTTCAAGAAAATTAACCATTTTATTGTGGTCTATGATAAAAATGGTCACCTGTTTACAGTTATCCTATTAAATTCAGCAAGTAACTTTCCTGGAGAGGCCGATTTCACTGTTTCTCTTGTCCAGTTTCATGCAGAACTGCATGACAGATGAGCATAGAAATGCCACCATGAATCCTGCGCTCTGACTTTCAAAACACCAGGGGAAAAAAACCCCACCACTCCATCAAAACAAAGAGCCCACATGACTGACTTCATAATAAAACAAATTCCAGCTGAGAAGGAAAGCACATTCATACTAGCCAATTTAAGAATTTTTATTCCAGGCAGAGCCATTCCTAAGCCTTCACTAAGTACAAGCAAACTCATAATGCCACTACTTCAATTTTTTAAACCTACTCTAAAGCCACTTATCATGAGGAACAGGCCCTCAGAAAGCAATTTGCAGGTGTACAGCATTTAGCAGGACAGACAGTTAAATCAGACAGCAGAACTATCAAACTAATTAAAACAATTCGCAGTGAAGACAGGTCTGGCTGATGGATACTGTGCCTTCCCTCCCAGCTTCAGCTGAAAATTAGACAGTAAAGCGCATCAAACTGGAAAATATATTTTTCATATCCTTTCACTAACTACCTGGGAAATGCAAGTGATCACACAGAAGGAGCCATAAAAGAAATTCTCACAAAACGCCACTTTTAAAACGTGAGTGGGTATGAGTATTATTATCCTCACTTATTCAGAAAAGAATTTGAATCTCCAGAGATACAAAAAGCATACATCAAGAGTCCAAGTACACATTGTATGCTTACATGGAAATCCTCGTCCTCATCTTGCAAAATGTATGTTTTGTCCTGGGGAAGTTACATGATACAAGCTAAGAGCTTCTTTCGCAGAAAAACAAACCTGTATATTCACAAAGGAATTTAGTGGAAGGATTCAGAGGTCTAAAGGACAGAACCAATACAGTAAATATGATTTCCACTGTGACAGTCCTTGCTAAAGCACACTTCAGGAGCCTCTCAAGGTAATCCTTTTCAATTAGGTCACAGTGAATCCAATTTGCCAGCATTTCAGGATAATGTTGAAAGCCACATCCCACTCCAACCACACAATGATTGAAGTAGCAGCTTAGAGAGTGTAAGGTACGTAGAAGCCAAATGTTTTTATAAGATTAAAAAGGCAGCAGACAATAAAGTTTGAGCACTCTCATATGCTCTTTTGGTTGCGGCAACTGAAGTGGAATTAGAGAAAGGGATCAAGCTGCTGCCAGAGACACAGAATGGTTTCAGGATGATACATCTATACAATGCACTTGTAATGTATATCTCTAAAATTTATTAAATCTACATATGGAATAACCAAGGTGCAGAAACCCTAACATCAAAGCATTCCTATGATGGTACCTAGAGCACCATCAAAGTTCTTATGAGGCACCAAGTCAGCACGCTTTTCAGCAGTGCTGTGAATCACACCAGAGGTGAAAGTATTTCACATTTGAGCAGGAAAGCTGGATAACTTAGTCTGAAAAGGAATTCTGCTCACCCAGTGAATCAAGGGAGAGTGAGAAATAGAGCTCAGGTGCCCTCCCAGTCCAATGCTTAATTTATGAAACCTCAACTCACTCGCAATTTCGCATAAAAATAGGACAAAAGCTGGAAGCCAAAAGCTGCTACAGATGTTTGATTCACTGAATCACTAGCATAGTATAAGAAGAAAATAATAAAGGAAAAGGCAACAGAAAATAACCCAACCTGAAACATTAAGCAAAAAAAATTTACTTCCTAATCGCAGTCCAAAAGTGGTTTTTTTTTTTACTTTGTGATGGTTACACAGCAAGTCAAATTTCAGTTTTTAACTATGTAGCAATATTTGTACACATTTCATTACACTGATTTGCCTCCATTTTTGTCAGCCAGAAAAACCTCATATCACACCCGTAAGTACAGGTGTAAACTGATCTAGGGACTCTGGGTAATTCTAAAGTAACACAGAACTGCATTGCCCTTCCCATCCCTTCCAATTCCAGATTACTGAGATACGCTTTTCATATTATAAGTCATTGCACAAGACAAGAGGAAACACTATAAACACTGCAGTAACATTAATTTCAGCCACTTTGCCCACTGGTAAAGGTTTAATTTTAAATGATCTGCAACACACTGCTTAGTTCTCCCACAACACAACACTACTCGAAACAACCAGGATATTTGCCAAGTGGCGGCAGGCACCTTTGTTTCTTCATTTACACACAAGGATGCTGGCAAGCACTCAGAAATAATCAGAACACATCAGTATTCCTATTAAATTCAGCAACATTTAGAAATCAAGTCCATAACCACCCAGAGGTATACAATATAAACAAAATACTTCCAAATTCATTCTTTGCTGCACACTTCCTTTCCTCTCTGAGTCAACACACATACTTTGTTCAATCCTACCCTCTTTGCCTCTTCATCCTTCTTCCCTTCTGATAGAAGAGACCAGTCAGCTCTGCTCCTTCAGTACTCCCCAGCAAAAAGCAACTGCCCTTTCAGGTGCTCTGCTAGGAAATGGGGAGAGCTCTGCACAGGTGAAACCTGTTGGCAATTGCTGGCAAGAGTTAAGCCTGGGCCACAGCTCATGGTACAGTGGTAAATAAATTGCAGGAGTTCCTCATCTGCTTCTTAGTTTATGTCATGATCCTTGGCTCCAAACCTTTGGTGTGTAGAGTTTCTTCATGTTGGCCATAATCTTTGGGCCAGGATTCAGAGTTGGAGTCACCACCCATATTATTTTTTCTGCCTCAGGTGAAAATGGGAAAATGAGGGCTGAGCAGAAAGGAATGGAATGAATGCGAAGATGTGGGCAAGTATGAAAAGGGTGTGACTGGGAGTTTAACTACAGCATGCATGCAATAGTTAATAGCAGAGCAGTTCACAAATGGTTGCAGGTTTTCTCCGGAAATACCAAGTGAGACATTGTATTACAAGTAGCGAAACTGGCATTTTAACTCAATACTTTACTGCACAACAAAAAAATAAATACAAAAGTACTCCAAGCAAGCACTTTCACACCTCAGAGTATTATAATGCTGTGGGTTTTTTATTAAAAGGGTTACAAGTTAAAAATGACACACAAAGAAATGGGACCATCCTACTGGATTCGTTCATGCTAATCATGATTTCTCTCAGGTGACTGAGATAACAGAGTCAGACTCTTCTCGGTGGTACCCAGTGAAGAGGCAACATGCACAAATTGCAATACACGAAAACATCCCATTTAAACATAAGGAAAAAAAAAAACCACCACAATTTTTTTACTGTGAGAGTAATCAAACACTAAGCAGGTTGCCCAGAGACACTGTGGAGCTTCCATCCGTGGAGATATTCAAAACCACGTCAGTCCCGGGCAGCCTGCTTGATTGACAGTGCTTTGAGCCGAGATGTTGTACTAGCCGATCTCTAGAGGTCCCTTCCAACTTCTACCGTTCTGTGATTCCATGATTCCATATCTACCAGACATCAGCAAAGTCAAACCTATGAAAACCCAGGTAACTTTCCTACTTCTGCAAAGCTGAAGGCGAAGAAAGAGGGTGAAAGAAAACAGATCTGAAAGACTGAGTTTATTGACTATGAAACTCACAAAGTAGTCATATACCAAACTGGATCTTTCCTTCTCTGCAGTCAGTGCCATATTCTACAGGAGTTATCCTTGCTCCCTAGTAATAAACACAAATTGTGAAGGGATCATTTAGCTGTATCACACAATTTATCCATTTTTGTTAACACCTACATCAACCGTATTTTGGTGATTAAGTCAAAAGATCGAAGCAATCACAAACACTCTGTTCACATCTTTTCCCACTCCCACAACTTTTTGTCTGAAATTAAGGAAACCTGAACAGGGTTCTGTGACAAATACACAAAAGGTGTGCTCCCATTTAAAAAGCTTTACCTTTTGCTCACCCAGACCTCCCTCACTGCAACGCATTGTGAGAAAATGGCTTAGTCACTGGTCTGATGCTAGAATATTCCCATAGGAGAGATGGTAGGGTGTGCCCGTGCCTTTATACAATTTTGTTCAGGGCCATATTCACTTAAGCGTCAGTTCAAAAGTGAGTTTCTAGCTTTTCTTGACTACATTTTAACTCACTGCCGGCACGTGCACTTGGGAAATGGCCCCAGGAAACTTTTCAGACTCTTTTTTTTTTTTTTTTTACCGTAACAAGATTTCAAATGTCTCTCAAAAAAAGATTAAAAAAAAAGATTGGAATACATTAGTTACCTGTAATGATTATATCACCTTTGTAATTGAAAGCACAGGAGAATATCTCATCAGTGTGACCCTCTAATATCTGAAGGCAGTGTCCAGTAGCAGCATCCCAGAGTCGAGCTGTTTTATCAGAGCTGGCTGTTAGTATACGATTGCCTTTAGGGTTGAAACATACCTTTAAAAAAATCATAGAAAAGAGATCTATTACTTAGCAAGTCAGTATGCCTGGAAAAGGAAGCATATATAGTGATTAAAAGATGAAAACAGAAACCAGTAACTCTTGCATTCAGCTTTTCAGCTAAAATGAAGGATAGTATCCCACTGGAGTCACCCTGGCAAATTTTCATGGCTGAAAACTTTGTGTATGTACAAAGATCTATATACAATGACCTTACTATAGGATCAAGACTTCAGAATATTATCCTGCAAAATCACAATTGCTTTACAACTGAACAACTTTCTTTAGATGTTGTCATTATTCCAAGGTAAAATTTATACACTTATAGAGTTCTACATTAAATAGCATACATCTCTGTAATATCAAAACTTCCACTGAACGCAACTCATTTTGTGGTATGTCTTCATATTTGTTAAACTTTTATTGCCAAAATTGCATGTATTTCCAAATAATCAGATATATTTTTATAGCACTAACTGGACAATACCAGGTTTATTATATAATGCAAAATTGCTTAACTACTGAGGGCAAAATGCCTGCTCCCCAGAAATCTAATTTCCAAGTAATAACCTTCCCAAGTGATCACAGCAACACAGAACATCTACAGAAATAGATTGACTTTTCAACATGCTCCTGGATAAGCAGATTCTCACTTCCAGCAAAGAAATCATGCCAGCACTAAGGACCCTGAGGGAAGCTGTCCCTAACCCACCCACAAGTCAACATGTATTCAGACTGCATTGCTCCATGCATCTACACTGAGTGGGAGGTATTGCAGTGACTGTATTAAGTGAGGAAAGACTAGCCCTTCTGAACTTAATATTCTCTCAGACGAGTGATTATAATAGGCAAATCAATACAATGAAAGCACGTGAGTTTTATTCACTAAGAACCATCCTAGTTTCAAAATATTAATATTTCAATTACAAAATACATCAAACAAAAGCAGCACAGACTTAGCATACTAGCCTGGAAGCTAGTGAAAACTATCCATTTGAAAGAATAATGAAGAGTTGCAAGTATTAAAAAGTCTGAAAAATATGTACAATTTTGGAAGTAACTAAATGTATTTGGAACTGAACTTTGGCATTCAAAATTGAGCCAGACAAGTCCTCCAGTAAAGTACATGAGCATATTCCTCGTGACCAAGTGATTTTTGAAACAGGCTTTATACTTCCAAATCCCTTACGCACTTTTGAAAATAAGACTCTCCATGTATTTTTCCCACAGAAGTATGTTTTTTCTGCTTTGTTCCATAAACCATGTGTGCAGACAAATTAAAAAGAGTAAGGAGGAGCAGATCTGTTAGAAACAAGGAATAAGGGTGATGCTAAAAGCCTCAGATGCAATAATAGCCTCAAGATGTCATCAAGAGACTAAAAAACTTATTCTGTCAGAGAATCTGGAGATTTCGAGGGCATAATAACACAAATATGACTCAGGACAGGTCAGGCAGAAGCTCTATTAACTATGATCATAGTGAGAGAACATTCGGACAGCATCTCCCCCTCTGCTCCCCTGTTCTTTGCCAAGTGATTGCAGAGATGCAACTTATATACTGTTTCAGAACAAGGAAAGAGGTAAGGAAAACCAAAATAATTTCAATGTTAACAAAGTCAGGTATCCATCCCTGGGAGGGATGGACTTCTTAAGTAGCTTGCTAACTGCCACAATTCTAAGGAATGACATAGTGAATAACATGACAATATGGAGAGACGGCTTTTGGTGGAGCCTATAGGAGTAGCACCCCAGTATTATCTTAGCTCAGAAGTGGGGAGTTGGAAACAATCATTGACTGACAGCTTTTAGTCAAAAGGAATGTTCTTTTAGTAATGATAACTTCTTAGCCAGACCTCTCAGTATTAAATATTGATGATTTTACCACCACATACTTTAACAGTGTTCCTGTGTCATGGAATAACTGGTGGATTGGATGTCACACAAAATCAAATAAGACAAGGTGCAAAACACAAACAACTTACCTTAGAAATTTCACCTCCATGCCCTTCTAGCTTTGCAATGCACTTTTTTGTTTCTGCATTATAGACTCTTGCCAATCCTGTTGTAGTAGATTAGGAGCCATTTGTGATTGTTATGCTTAAGCATGCATGTCAATAAGAACATTTTAATAAGGTTGGAAGGACCTCATCCTCAGGTTTGATTTCAAAAGAAATAGAAGGCAATCTCAACACTGTTTCCCCCAAGGATAAAGTGTGTCAAAAAGGGTTTGTAACCTGGTTGGAAAAAGTTGACTTCTTAATGGTTTCTGCTGGAAGAATTCTAAAATGTGAATACAAATGTCCACATAGAACGTGGACTACTGAAGTCTGTAATTTCAGAATGCATGTACAATATATTCAGGAAGCTTCCATTATATTTCAGATATTAATTCTATTTAATAAGCTATTAATTACATTTGAGGCAACTTTTTACATTGTCTTATGTCTTAATTTAGCAATTTCAGTAAATCAGATGCAAATAGTGCCCCCCATCCAGTCTGGTATCCTGTTTCTCAAAGTGCAAATCTAAACACTTAAGTATGTAAAAATAATATGGTTTTGTCATTATGTGCTACAATGTAACACTGTGCAGGTTAATAAAAAATATTTATTGTGATTTCTAAAAAAATAATAAGCATGCAAAACTGCTGGATACCAATAATAAAACAAAGTTGCTTCTTTCACTACTTCTTTATTGTATATTCTCTTGCTTTGCATTTGCAAAGCCTAGTAGCAAATTTGCCATTAAAATTCCAACTGCCTTTTTAATTTAAGCCGAAATTTGAGCCACCAAATCAAACTTCACTCAAACACTACTTACCTAAACATTTAAAATGTATTTCTTGCCACAAGCAAAATATTTCCCTGCAAATTTGAAGTTAAAGGGGAAAGACGTTGAGTTGATTAAAGTGTGAAAAATAGAATTTTCACTGGGGAAAACTTCTTAAGTTTATTGCCAAACTTTCTATAATGCAACAAACATTGCTTGATCTATAGTTTCGAGTTATGATACTCTTCTTTCATCAAGTGACATTCAAAGCAAAACCAAAGGAAAAGGACAAAGGTGTTTTGTGTCACTACTGCAAATCTTATAGCAGTCCCAGTCACTTCACCTACCATCAGCAGAGGCAGTTGCAATACGCTGGCCAGCATAATCAAAGCAGACATCCAATATTTCATCAGTGTGACCTGTTAAAGTTGCTATATGTGTCCCAGTCATAGCATTCCACAGCTGCATAGATAAATAAGGGTAATGTTTTTTGCTTATTTTGACTAATTTATTTGATAGATATCTAGTTGATCCATAAAGCAACATGTATAGGCCCTTTCTGATGTCTGACAATGTCTTACATGAAACCTGGACATAAATCAATAAGGAATCACTGTTTAGTCAGTTTAAAGAAATCCTATATATTTTTTATTTCAGTATATTCATTAAACTATCTATTGTTAACTATTGTTAACTATTGTTAACTCTCCATTGATAGACTATCTAACTGGACTTCACTGAAATGAATAAGATTATAGGTTTTGCATTTAGTTGTAAATTTTTTAATTAATTATATGTACTAGTTTAAAATAATGCTCTTCCATTTACAAAAGATATATTTTATGTATCAAGTAGCTGCATTCAGTACATACTCAGCTTTCTTACCATGCATGTTTTGTCCATTGATCCAGTGACAATGAGAGAACAGTCCCAGTTGAACTGTGCACTGCTAATCTCTCCTCGGTGACCTATTAAAGTATGTAACAACCTACAAAAAAGAGAATTTACATTTTTAGTGTGTATTTTGATATATGAATATAAATTATAAGTAGGTTTATAAAACGGTACAGTTAAGGTGTCAAGTCTTCACCATTTTATCCATTAAAGCAGTTAAATGGAGTGGTACAGCTCATTTAGGATTCTAGTACGACACCGATTCCATTTTTTTGTCTTTCCAACATAGAGGCAGTAAGGAATAAAATGGCAAGTCCTCCCTTCTCTTTAAAAAATATTTTAGTGAATGTATTTTCAGTGAAATGTGATGAATTTCCAGTGCCAGACACAGATTTCTTGTATTTATCTACATACAAAGCACATGCGGCAAGTCTCTCCACATTACTCTCCTACTTCAACGAACTGTAAACAGTACATCTTAAAACTCCATATAAACCTTTTATAAAATCCACTGAAGATCAAATGGAACTTAGTCAGGTACTTAATGTGAGCCTGTTCCCAAGTAACAGGCAAATGATGGTCAAACTGAAATATGATTTCTAATCTTCATCAATCCTAAACTTCTTGTCGCACAAGACTGGCAATACTACTTCCACTAAATTCTTCAGCTTTATCTGAATAGAGAGGGTACAATTAGCCATTATTGCTTCCTATGAATTAATGGCCTATAAGGCAATGAACCCTTAAAAAGATTAATTGATATACATATATTAAAGGATTAGTAAATTAGGTTATTATCACAATGCTAATATTACTGTATCATTAATAGAAAACTGCTTTAATTAATGGATAAACTAATGACTAGAAAAGCAATTAAATGAGTTTAAGTGACTGAAATGTTTTTATTTGTTGCATAAGATACATAAGGGTAGATAAATTAATATGTATGCTAAATGAACAGCAAACCAAAACTTTGGTTACTTTCTAACAATGAGGCCTGCACTGTTGTAATCATGCAGACCTTTTTACAGTGAAAACAAAAATCAACAAGCAGAAAACAACAGTGGAAAATTTAATTTTATGAACGTATTATCTGGCCATCAAGATTGCTGTTGTTGTAATATCTAATACCCAAAATACCTAATAATGAAAAAAAGTTTTAATTTAAAATTTAAAAGCTTTAACTTCCAAATTTTGAAAAATCAGTCCAGGCTTCAAGCTTCAACATAAATATCCGATAAATAAACAGAATAAACAGCAATGCGTGGAACATCTCACAGAAACCACTATCTACCAGATACATGATTAGAAAGAACCCAGAAAACAGGCTTGTGAAATGCTATCCAAATTTTCCATTTAAAACATAAAAAAAGAAAAAAATCCTTAAAAAATCAGCTTCAGTCATGATAATACTTCTTTAGCCTTCAGTTTCCAATGAAATTTAATATCTGGATGCTCTAATATTTGCACCGTAATTGCAAATAAGAAGAAACTGTCTCTCTCTCAGCATCCTGGTGTCCAACACTCCTGACCCCAGTTACAGGCTGTTGATTTGTCAAATGAAGTTCTGAAGACACCTTCAACTGAACTATATCTGACTGTGTCTGCCATGGAGAAATTATTGATGAAATACACACCTGTATTACAAAAGCATGTTCCCCCCCCCCCCCCCACCATCTTCCTCCTTTTTTCTTTTCTTTCTTTTAATTTTAACATTTTATGAAGAGAATCTTGAACCTTCTTGAGATTTCTTGTCCCTACATTAACTTCCCTCAAGACAGTTCTGGATATCTACCCAGAAAAAAACTGAGGAACACAGATACTCATCAGAGTCAGCCAGCAAAATTAAAAGAAACTTCAAGATCAAACTCAAATTTGGAAAGCAGTGTTTCTCATATATTTCATATGGTGAAAGACGGTCAGACACAACCTCACCTACAAGATTTTTGTAAATCTACCTGAATCTGTATACAGCAAAGTATGATTTGCTCACAGTCTTTCTGACTGCAACTTCTCATTTTTACTAAATATATACATGCCCAACTGCTATCTAAAAGGCTGAATGCTGGCCCTGGCACAATTATATTGCCCACTAGCTAATTACCAGAAGTGCCAGTGTCTAAACAAGAATTTTCTCCTTCATATTCCACTTCCTGGTGTTGACCCTGATGTGAAGTCCACATTAATTTCTTAGAAAAAAAGAATTCAACATGAAAATCCCAAGACTTTGACTTCACTGCAGGCTCAGACAAGAAGCTAGAAGCAGCAGCTGTTTTCACACAGAAATATTTCCAAGAACACCATGCTGAATGAAGTTGAACCCAAAGGTCCGATTTGCTGAATGAGTGCCTCCAAAGTATTTACAGGCCAAACATTAAACTGCTAATGTTGAATAAGCTCAAAGCTTAGAGGATCAAGCCTTAAAGGTACTATGTGTACTTTTTTTAAAAAAAATCACATGATTAGTCTCATTTTGAAGCAACATACGTTGTTTATTACCCCAAGATATCACTACGCACACACTTTCCTTTTATATATAAATTTCAGAGATATTTCCCTTGATCTCACAAAATGAAAAAAGACATGACCTCTGAAAACATAGTAGATTTATCTTCATAAATTACTTTGTCAGTAATCAGGGCAATCATTTTTATTATTCTACTTATACTGAGTTTCCAGATGAAAAAACAAGCAGATTTGTCAGGATAATACCACAAGTTCATATTTATCTACTACATTATTATTTGTTGGCATCATAATCAAGACATTTTGTTCTCTGCAGTGAGAGGGGTCAAATTTTCTCCTCTTTATAAATTTATACTGACATAAAGGATTGTGAGAGGGAAAACAGACCGTCTATAGTTTTTAAAGACAATGTGACTACACTAATTTCCTATGACATACAATATACTTTCTTTTTACTTGAACAGCTTATTTCATCCAAAAATTCTAGACACCTTACAAACCATGAGTTTCTATGTTGATAAAATATTTTCCTGTTTGGAGAATTCATCTGCAACAAACACAGGATCTGTACATTCTGTCTGCCTCCTCAGTGCTCATAAGATGGAAATTTAGAACAAAAAACATATACAAAAGTATTTCATGAGCAGCATTCTTTTTCAGAAGAACAAAGGGAACAGGAGTGACAAACTATAAGATGAAGGAGCACATACTCTAAATGAAGCAAAAATACAAGGTAATACAAGGTCTGTAATTTGTAGCTTGACGTTCTCTCTTTCATTTGTCATTAAAACATGCAATGTAAAATGATATTTATTAGTATTTTAGTACCTGCCAGTGCCAACATCCCACACTGCTACTGTATGGTCAAAAGAGCCAGTGATAATCCTATCTCCAGTGGTGTTGAAAGACAACGCAATAATTTCTGCTGAGTGCCCCTGAGAGAATATTTTAAAAGGAGTATGAGAATGCAAATTATGAATTTTCTATTAATGTAGTTTATTATGCAGGTTTTTTTCAGCAGCATAATCCTTCTATAACCCTTCAACATATTGTTTACTGTCTTGTTCAGTATATTACAATTTTGACAGAAAGATCTACTAGACCGTGGAATAGTCAATATCATAACAACTGCAAAAAATCAGACATATCACTTAAGCAGTCAGCAATTGTCCAGTCATGTCATCAGTGTGTATTTTCCATATTTGATTTAAACAGAATCACATTTGTTCACCAATACATACTGAAATCAGGTGATTCATTTACAGTAAACTACAGTACAGCTTCTCATTGGTGCTGGTGGAGAGGGTTGGAAAAATGAATGTAAGCATAATTATAAGCTAAAGGTTCACACATTCCACTGCTCTTTGCTCTGCTCAGGGCTCTGAGGAAGAGAAAATCAAGGAGGAGAAAATGCCTTTGTCACTCTATAGGCTATATACTCCAGAGGATGCTTATGCCCTACCTGTAATTTACGATTTATGCAAGAGAAATGCGTTGAAACAGCAGAGGCCAATGTGAACCTGTGGAAACCCAGCAAGCCGTGTAGGGCAAAGAGACATCACAATCTAGAGGTAATTGGAAGGCTGTACTCTGCTGATGTTTACAGGAAGAAAATCCATACAGATGTAGTGTCTGACGTCAATGTTCTCAGAGTTACTTTATGTTAATACAGAGGAGGCTGTAATTTACAGTGTAGCAACATCTTTTAATGAGCAATGGAAGGCATTCTAATCTACAGCAGTAATATCACTGAAATGAGAAAACCTGTCTTTTGATAAATAGGACTTCTTAAAAAATACCATAGCTTTATCATTCCCTTCAAGTTTTCTTAATCTGTTTTGTAACTGCAGTCACTGTGGGATCACCTAGTAAAAGACTCTGCAACTTTTGAAACTGTTGTAACGGTTATACTGTTATTTCTCTCAGTTAGAAAACTAAGAAAGCAAGGAACACCTTTAAAGACATGAGGAAAGCAAACATACACTTAAAGTGACTATTTCTTCTCCTTTCTCTATATCCCATAATTTGGCGGTGGTATCCATGCTTCCAGTTGCCACCAATGTGCTCTGAAGATTAAATGATAAACATACCTGTAGCAAGAAACATTGGACAGAAAAAGTGGGAAAGGGGAGTATTTACATACATTTTCTCAAAAACAATGGGTCAGGATTAATATTTTTAAAGAAGACAGAAGCCTGGCTGAATATTTTATGGCATACAGAAAAATTGCAGAGTTCTTCCAACAGTTCACTAGAAGAGCAGCAAATCCTTATCACATAGCTCTGGATGACTACTCAAATCAAATGGACTAATCAGCTGCTTTGCAATGGCAATGCATTAAAAAGACTTACTGGAAGATTTCCTGTATTGTTTTCTGAGCCTGGATTAAAATTCACTATTTAAGTGCTTCATTTTGTGTCACAGGGAGAAATTATTTAGTTCAGAAAGTTTTCATGAAAATCAAGACTGATGCAGTTTGTTTATTTATTAACAGCACTTAGTTAACTGGCAGAGAACTATATATTCAGTTCCAGTAATAAAATAGATAAACTTATGCAATCTTAATAAACAGCTACAAATTTCTAAACCTCTTCCTCTAACTCCAGGAAGTTTTAATCACACACACACTTCCACACTCTTGCATGCACACTCATCCTCTGTCACACAGGATGAGTGGGTTACAAGGGCACGCCCCCTTTCTAGGATTATGTGTTCCCCTACTTGCACCCATCTCCCCTAGGAGATGTGAGTGCTCTAGCTTTAGTTGAGCCCATACCACTTCCTAAAATCTGCTGATCCAGATGCCAGAGAGAAGGCATCCAAATCCACATACGCATATCTTACAAGGGGGACAAGGGGGCCTTTTTTTGAACCCCATACTGACAATCCACTAGCCGGATGCAGACTCTTCATGGTGTCTCCTAAAGGAAAGCTACAGTGTGTGGTCTAGGCAGATATTGTGATGCCCAAGGTGACTTCTGGAAGCCCCAGGGCAGGTTTTGACAACTGCTACTTCCAGGCTAATGTCTCCCGTACCTTGTTCTAAGTTGTCTTGATTATTTTATCTTCTACTTCTTTCTTTATTTCAAAATCCTACTTCTTTATTTCAGAATTCTCTTTGACATTCTCCAGTTACTGTTCGACCTGACTGACAGTCCTCCCCAACACCATCATTTGGTAGGCTTCCTCTTTAACTTGATGAGTTTGGGGTAAAGTCCCTCCAGACATTTTTCTATACCCACAAACATCTTCTGTACATTCACACTCTTATCCTAACGAGTGTCGTTATCAGGGCCATTTGCCAAGGGTGTCAACCACCAGCATCGTATTTATTTACAAAAAAGCAAGAACAAAATCACAACAACATCCTTAATTCATTTTTCACATTAAAAAATCATGTAGTCATCTTCCCATTCTCTGTAATTATTCAATATGATTGTTCTGCTAATAAAGAATAGAAGGTGCCATGAAAGAAGAAAAACACTAGCAGAGGTCACTGGTGCATTTTCACTATGTCCATTTCTTTTTTTTTTCTTTTTTTTTTTTACTGAGTAACTATGGACGTGCCCTTGCCAGCAAGGTATCATACGCAATAAAGGCCTTTCAGAAACAGGTCTCATTCAGAGAAACACATCTTTTTCTGCTGGCTATTATCTTCCACTAATACTTGCTAGCACAACTCGTAACACTTTGGGTCTAATCTAACCCCTACAGAAGTCAGAAGAAATTGAGAGGCCTTTAAATATTTAGCTAACTGATTTGTGGAAGCAAAATCACTGCAGTCTGTCTCAATGAGTGAACATGCTCTCCATTGTAAGGGATAACTGTTTCAAAGTACCCAGAAAATCAAAAACCCACTGAAACCAACCTCACCTTCCACCAAGGTAAACCACCATTTTCTCACACATAGGCCTTGCAATCTACAAATTAAATTCCAATTGTTTCCAGAAACAATTTCCAGAAATGCTTTGCTGAATAATGATTGTATAGCTATTTGTTACAAAATAAATTCTGCATTGAAATTAAGAGTTTCAGTGGATTTGCTCTGATCTTTCAAATCGGAATGCTGTGCATCAAGACATGCTATTGCTAATAGGGCTCTTAGTGCATTGGAAAAGAAACTGACTATTTTTAAGCTTAAACTGTTTTCATTTTGTGTATCTTTGACATTTCAGCATCCCACATATTCCCAGTTAACACTTAAAATTTCAGAAATTCATTCTTCTATGGCTTCAATTGGTCCTGTACATGAAGTACAGATCTCAGCTCAGAAAGACAACAACACAAGCAACAATACTCTTGTGTATTTAATTCCAAAATTATGAGAGGCAATGTAAGATATCTAGAAAAAAATGAGATATGTAAACAAATCAAGGAATAATTATGTTCGATAAATAGAAAATTCCAATTGTTCTGGTATTTCCCAAAAGTGTTTTAATATTTAGCAAACAAGGGAAATTGGAACAAACCAAAAATAAAAATACCACTTCAAACTGTATACAATGTTTTATTCTATTTCTTAAGAACTGTCAGACTATCTTTTCTTGCAGTGCAGAAATGTTCACAATATCTGAATGTGTGAATAGATGCAGCAGAATAGTTGCCCCTCCCAATGTCAGCTCACAGGGACTTCAAACCCACAGCCATCAATGATGGTCTGAGGAAACATAAAAGAATAAGAAACGTCCATCAGTACTTACTATTTCTGCACTATGTCCTCTGAAAGTATGATAACATTTTCCTGTTTCCGTACTCCACAATTTGCAGGTTTTATCAAAAGATCCAGTGGCAACCTTGTCACTAAATGAAAAAAAAATCCTGTCATTTTTATTTAGAAAAAAAAACTTCTGACTTCAAAGACAGTAGAATTCACACAAACAATACCCAGTCATGAAATCTTGCATGCATTTTGGTCCATTGTGCCACACTACAAGATCCTGGAGCAGGAATTCACAAACAGAAGTTATGTTAAGGGAAAAAAATTAGTAGACACAATTAGTTTCTAAAAGAGCCACTATGCTTTTCTGTTAGCACAGAAGTGTTCATAACTGATGACTAACTTACATTAGGGATGAGGTTATCTGCTGTACTTCCAGATGTATTTAAAAGTTATGACATTTCACCCGATAGCATCCATTTGTCAACAGTTATAAACTCTTTTTACAAGCAGTTTACCCAAATTTCAGAAGTTGAACTCCACTGAAGTCAGTGGAAGTATTGTGACCAACCGCAGTTAGATTAAGACTGAAGTGAGGTACCCAGAAAATGTAGCAAGGGACACTGTATCAAAATCTAAAGATTAACAGAAAAAAAGTTCATTTTTTATTGAACTTTTAAATTAAAAGTAGCTCAAGGTTCTCATCAGGTCTTCATTTGCTCTATATTGCTTCTCCACTTTTACGTTACAGTCTAGTTATTGATCTTTGCATAGATTTTGATCTAACATTAGTTTCTTCAAAATATATAAAAGAATTTCATTAATTGCTTTTTTAAAGTAAAGAATAATATCAGAATATAAGACATTGACATAGAAGGTTCTAGGTTAAAGTTTTTTCGTTTAGAAGGAAATGATGATGCTCTAAAGAGCATAAGCACAAGTCTTTAGCATTTATTTCCTGATGTTTACTGTGTATTGCTTATCAATAGGGCATCTAAGAGAGAAAGAAGTGATTCAACACGAAAATAGGAATTAATTTCTCTTACTTTGCAGAGAAGGAAAATGGTTTATTTACAGCTTCCTCGGGAAGCAAATGACAACGAAACTTCAGTAGCTAACATGTAATTCTCTCCACCTAACAGGTGGCAATTCTAGGGCAAACAGTTATTGCAGGAAACAAAAGATGCACAGATTCATATTTTACATTCGTACAGCGGCACCCTGTGGATTTCATAAAAATTACTCAACAGCTGTGACACTTCTGAATCATGTCCTAAATAATAATGAATGTGTAATACCAAATGGAGAAATCCACTTTTGTTATGACAGAAATTTCTTTCTCTTAACTGAAGCAACACATGCTGACGTAAGTACTTATATCTCACATCATATTATATCTCCCTCAATTACAGGGAGGCAGAAAAGAATGGTTAACATTCAGAACACAATCTGATCATGTAGATATTATTGAAATAAATGTGTTTCAATACATTAAACTGACTCATATATTTATGTATTTTTCAAGACATTGAATACCTAATGAAATATGCTTTGAATTTCCAAATTTCATTTTAAAATAGTATAGCAGAAACCATGCTTGAAAGTATCTCTTATACAAATAATGTACATTTTCGTCCCATGGTGATTAGCTATAGCTGAACTTTACAAATTCAGGATTTGAACTATTTCAATTTAAGATAGTCTATTTCATGTTAAAGATAGAGTAACAGTTCTGTATTTGCAAAATAACGTGAGTAGCAATTACAATGTATGTCAGAGAAAACATATTTACCCATAGGGATTATTGAAAGCTATTGCATAGACAACGTTTCTGTGTCCCTCCAGCGTACATATCTCTTCTCCTGATGCAGTATCCCACACTTTGCAGGTTCTATCATAGCTTCCAGTGATAAAGCTAAAGCAAAGAGAAATTAATTTCTGAATACAGTAAATATCTTACTGGTCCTGGTGCATAGTTAAATGAGTTATTTCCACAGATTTCAGTTAGCACTGACTCAGACTCTAAATCTCTTCTTTCTTTCAAAAATACAGATTAATGACCATAGAGGTTCCTTTTCTTTTTTGTTTTTGTTTTTGTTTTTTTTTTTTTTAATATTACTTATTAAAAAAACCTTGTTTCTAATCTTGAATTTGTTTCAACTAGAAAGCAAGCTGCTGCTTTCAAGATATGAAGGAAAAAATGATTAGGTATATGCCCACAGTGAAATCAATTAACATGAAATTCCACTACAGTGAAAATCCCAAATGAATTTATGTCAAAGACTTATTTAGCTTTTACTAATATTCACGTTATTGCCATAAAGGTGCCTCTTTCTGAAATATGGTAGTTGTCAACAACTATCACCTTGGAAGGAAAAAATTACATAAATTGAATCTACTTTTTTGCATCTCTCATTGGTTCTCCCACAGAGCCCTGAAATCAAATCCCCAATCATGCTTGAAGCTGCTTGTAAGCAGCACAGCTGAATTCTTTTCCCAGTAAGATAACAGAACAGAAAGTTCCTTACAATTTAATTTACAAATATGAAACTTTAGTAATTATGTATTTTGACTTTGAAAACAACTTACCGGGAACCGGATTTGTTAAATGCTACATTAGTCAGTGGCAATACATGTGCTCTAAGTACCTGAAACAGAAGTAGGGGGAGGGAGAAGAAAACAACATTTGATGCAAATGAAAAGAAAAACAAAACCACAATTGTTCAATCTATTCAACAGGTTACTATTTTCTCCTCCTTCTGTCAGATTAGCAGTTACAGCTGTCAAACATTAATCCCTAACTAAAAAAAGCCCCCATGCCTCAGCACGTTATCATTGCAGATATTATATAGAATAGATTTCAAATTTCTGTTTTTCCTGAATGAACTATCTTTTCCTCCATGTTTGCTTTTTCTCCACCTTCTCTGAGACCAGCAAAGTAACCTCAGACCAGAGTTGAAAGGGGAAAAACAAATGAGTGAGGAGACCATGCCTGGTGAGATCACTGATGAAAGAAATTGCAACTAATATTAAGCCTTATATAGTGAATCAAGAGATCCAGCTGAATTGAGTATTTTGAGTCTTTTAGGTTATGGGACGCTGTCAGCTAGTATATGATTTTGTTTTAAAAAACAGGAAGAACAGAAATAACCTACATTATGTCCTATGAGGTCATGACCAAAAAAAAAGGCATGCAGAATTATAACAAAGATACTTATCAAGACAAAATTCAAAGAGGGAATTTCAAATTTGATGTCTGCCTGTATTGTGTAGGTTATGGAGGTCACCGTTTTTCTAACATTGCTTCTAAGGTTCTTTAATCAGACAGTATATATGTTTCATGTAAGTGATCTTATGTCTATAATAATAAGTATTAAGGTCTATTAAACACAGGTAAAAATGGTTTCAGATACTGTCAGTGACAGTCAGTATGCCATGATACTTTGAAAATGACCAAAAAAAAAATAAATCTGGTTTGTGTTTGAACAAGCTGGCTACTGTATAACAGGGTTTGCATTTGAATGATGTTCACCTATTACAAGCTGGCTTCTGCTCAAGTCTAAAGCATAATAAAACCATAATCTGGAAAATCACAGCAATTGCTGACAGTGAAGTAAAGAGATGTTAAAAATATAGCAGTAGTCCACTAGGTCTTTTCTGTAGGGTAAGAATGAAGAAGAAATGGTTTACAAGCAATGCCATTTAACCACTGACATTACCAGAGCCTCAGCTTTTTGTTCTTATCTCTAGCTTTCTCAGCTGCCTGTCTCCAAAAGGAGAATGAAAGGAGCTCAGAGACCTTCTACTCAGAAGAGTAGGGACTGATCAAAATGGAAATAACAACGGTCAAATGAGGGACTGAGAGAGAGAAAAAAGAAGAAACAGAAAACGTACTTTATGGTAGAGGAACAGCAATTTCTGTTCTCTTTCTAGAGAAAGTAAGACAAATTGTACTTTCAGCTACAGCAGTGGGAATGGGCAATCAAGATGTGGAAAAGGCAAAAAATATATTGCTTTTCTTTAAAACGGCCACAGCGTACAGATATCTGTATACGAGAATGGATAATTATGGAAAATTATGGTAATTTGATTCATGCTCCATGCAGGCAGCTCTGAACAACAAACATATGTAATAGTTACCAAAAAAAGGGAGGAGACAAGATGGTTTTATGTTCGATTTTAGATCATGGGACTAATTCTGTTCTTCTAATGCCCAGTGCTGCAGTTTCTTCATCCACAGAAGTCTAAGCCAGCAAGAATTGCTTGTGCAAATGATACAGTAATCAAACCTTAAGGCAATACTAAAAAAATGTAACTCAGTTCTGCAAAATCTGCCACAGCAGTACCTAAGATAAAAATCTGCAAATCACTATAGCATATCATTGCAATGTAATAGTTTAAAACCTGAGAAATTGTTACAAAATCTTGTTTCTCTGCAGAGTGCCTAACACAACACTGTCACCACAATTACTGGAAATAACAAAAAGATATATTTATACACTCATTTAAGATTATGCTTCAGTGCAACAGGAAAAAATATTCATTTCCAAACAAAGCAAACACATAGAACATCTTTTGGGAAAAAAACCCAAACATTCATGCTCCCATCCACCTGTTGTATTTTATTAGTATCTCAGAAGCACATGATACTCATCTTTCTTTTAGAAGACTTAAATGGAACTGAAACATAAAACAAGTTCTTTTTACACACTTCTAACTACTCTTGAGTGAAGGAAATAAACCAGCACTGATTGGATTTGCCTGCCTCTAGTATTTCCAAGTACAGATGCTCAAACGTGGCACTATACCTAACAAAGAATAGCTACGTTATTTACACTGAAATTTGAACAAGCATTCGACGATTTGTCAGTCTCTGTGATGAACAATTTTAAAAGATTTTGAAAAGTGAGGAATTATCCCAGTTGAGAGAATATCTTAATGGGAACAGAAAGGCTTTAAATTTAAAATGCCTTATTACATAGCTTTATTTTCAAGGTTAAATACACAGATCTTTGTAGAATTCACCCAGATGAGTACTGTTGGCCAAAAGAACCCAAGTTATATCTAGCAAGATGTAAGATTTATTTTTTTTTTTCAGCCAAACAAACCAACACTTAACTTCTCCTTTTTCTCTGTAAATTTCAGGTAACAACTAATAATCTAGCCCTGACCAGCAAATTTTAACAGCTACACATTGCCATCTGCTGACACAATAAGGATACAACACTTCATTATTTCAGATTGCAACATGCAATCTCTGGAAGTAATTTTATTTTTATTTCCGTAATTAAATACAATTAAACCTATTCTTTTCTGACAGATTGAATCCTGGATTTGAAGCCCTGAAAGGTCTCTCTAATCATTGTTCTTAAAGAGCTTACTTATTTAAAATAAATTTTTTAAGTGCTATCTGTAAGCTGAAGATCAAACTATCAATATTCAAACATAATAGTATATGGAAGAAAGTATTACTGTATGTAGCAGAATACATAAAAAACCAATAATTTTCACAAAATGAGGAAAAAGTATACAAGGTTATGAAAATATTTTGGGCCTTTCCCAACAGCTAATTTACTTGGGGTCTGTTTACAGCTTTTGTTTAAACATAACTATGAGTGTTGTTGGTCCACAGACTCTTATTTGACAAATAAGAGAACTATTTCTCTCGATCCAAGGTACATACCCTTGTACATAAGCCTGTGTAAACAGTGCCTAGGAACAGTTATACCTCCCAGCCTTTTGGAGGAATTGCTGGCAGACATAGCCAGGCCAGACTCACTCACTCTAAACAGTGCAGAGGTGACTGAAAAGAGCCAAGAAGTTGGTCATAAAGTCCAAATTTTGCTCTCAGGCACAATATGCAGCAGTAAAAACATACAACATCACAACTGAAGCCCCCCAAAAATGCACAAAATTATTTTAAAGATGCTTCTGACCTTAAAAAGATAGAACTTGTGATCCTTGTTTTCCCCTAGCTTCTCTTGCAATCTTCGTACTAAATGTATGACGTGTTCCTTGCATGAAGCTGTGATGAGAGGTTCTCCTTTTTGAATTTCGTCTACTAAGGCTATGGCATCTGTGCTAATTATGGGGAAAAAAAAAAAAAAATTTCATCCTCTGGCAATAATTACGAATATAAAACCAAGAATATTATTTACTTGCAGAGAAACTGAAGTAAGCAATTATATGATACGCATTTATCTCATTCAATAACAGCTTAAAGAAATACGGATAAATCCTTTTTGGTTTCTATACTTCCTACCCTCTTTTATTAAAGTTGCTCAGTAAGATTTAACCTTTAAAAATTTTAGCTTGGCAAGAAATTTACCTTTTCAAAGGGTTTCCACAGAGGGTCAGACACGGGAGATGTGTATCCAAAACTGATAGTTTTGGAATAAATATCTAGATTAAAGTGGAATTTCATAATTCCAAATGAATTGCCCATGAAGTAGCAACAAGATAAATTGTATATGGAAAGTGTTAAAATTATCTCTGTCTGCAGCTTCACAAATCTATAACTCTTAGTTACAATAATAACTTCCAAAATGTGGTTCACAGTCTATTGGTGTCCATGAAGGCCCCAGGAAATAGTTCACAACTAGTCTGTGGAATTGGATATTCTTTTCATATCATCAGGCAAACTGCTGATTCCTGGCCATCCATGAAAAACTGAGGGTTGACAATACCCAGCAGTCAAAGCACCAACATACACTTGAAACTAGTCCTAGCAAGAAAGCCCAGCATTTCTATTAGTATGTAAATTATTGCAGTCTAAAGGGGATTGTCTATATTTGTCTTTAAATAGGAGCCACTAACATCCCCATAAATTAGTATCTTCTTGGTGTTTATACTCCTGTTAAGTAATACCAGACAACTTTTTTTTTTCACAAAGCAAGTGACTTCTTAGGTTTTATCCAGAGTACTAAGCTGAACAATTCCAGGTAGAGAAAAATTAATAATTTTGAATTTTGAATTTTTTGTCTTGCATGTGCAGTCTACATTGTCTACTAACTTTGGCTCACATGCAAGGACTCTTCCATATCAATCTTGGTATTAAGACAATCATATTACCTCTTGCCCTTCTGCCTAATAAATTCCATGGATTTTGGCAACTTTATTTAATGGTGGGGTTTTTTTATCTTTCTGAAGCTCTTCCCACCAGAGCTGGCTGAGTAGATCATGTAGTCTACTATGACCAAAACCATATTTAGGCTCTCAGATTTCATTTTTTCTTTTGGGTGCCTAGAGGAAGATGTTAGCTGGAGGAAAGCAGAAGAAATAGTTTGAGAGCTGAAGAAAACTTGATAATCTCTCCACGGTGTCGATGCCAGCCAAAATGTTCTGTGAAAAAAATCCACTAGATAAGACATACAAATTCGTGAAGTGTTCCATACTCCTTATTTGTACAAATAGCTGATGGGAGGGAATGAAGTAGAGGGAGCCAGACTTTTCTCAGTACTGCCCACTGAGAGGACAAGAGCCAATGAGCACAAATGAAAAAAAAAAAAAACCAAAACAAAACAAAAAAAAACCACAAACCGCAAAACCAAAAGGAAATTCAATCTGAACACAAAAATACACTTTTTTTGCTGTGAGGGTGGTCAAACACCAGAACAGGTTTCGCAGTGAGGTTGTAGAGTCTCCAACTGGGAGATATTCAGAACCCAACTATACATGGTCCTGGTCAACTTACTCTAGCTGACCCTGCTTTAGACTATCTCAACAAATCCCTTCTAAACTAAACAATTCTCTGATTCTGTCACATGCCATTATATTCTGTCACCAAACGCACAAAATAGCCAGTCAAATAACCTCTCAAGCACAGGTGCATAAATTACACATAGCAGTATTAATGTTAATTCAGCACAGTAACTTGTTAAGTCAGCATCCTCATCACAACAAATCTGTTCTATTCCTCACAAGGAATACATATGAGAGTTTCAGACTGGTGCCTTCCAACTGTCTGAAAGCCAGAGGCAGATGTGATTGAGTATCATCCTCTACATGGCAAGTCTCACATGCTTCCTCATTAAGTGATCTCTGCCTTCTATCTTACCAAAAGATATCCTATCAAACTTAAATCTAAATTTGACTTTGAAATACATTGTAATTTTTATTCTTCAGTTAGTCCAATCCCTGATTTTTAGATATATCAAGCTCCTGCCATTTCTTTCATCATGGTAGGAGACTAGAAAATCAGATTATGCACTTTTACTTGTCCTTTCCAAGAAGCTAACAACAATTAGGTTCACAACAAAAGAAACCAGAAAACTTCCATTACTTGCAACAGAAGACATCTAGTTTCTCCACACAAACATGAGGGGAAATCACTTACTTGCCTATCTTACAGTGCCTTACCTATGGTTGTTATGAGGATTAATTAATTAACCGAAGAGATCTGAACTGATGTCCAGTTGTTATTTTCAGTGATTTCAACAGAGGTCATTTAAAGCAATGTAACTGGGGGCTGAGTTAGACCTACTTTTTGAAAACATTCTGAAGACCAGAAATACTGTTACAGGACCTAATAACTAACTGTCTTCATCACAACATCACAATATTAAGTGCTGTATATTTCTGCTGGCTTTGTACGGGTATCTTGATAATCATAACTCTATAAGCAAGAAGAGGATTCACCTCTAAACAGAAAAGCATGGTGGTAAAAATCAGCTGGAATGCAAGATTCTGTGTTTAAAATAGTAGGAGAGTTATTTGACTATGTTATTCTCGTTTCTGTGTGTGTGTTTTAGTGAACAAAGACACAGCTGACCTCAATTATGCTTAAAACAATCAGAGTTGTACATGAGCATGCTATAAAACAGCAGAGAGTGCTGTTATCTGAAATAACATCATACTTACTCAGGTCTAAGATCAAGTAGATCTATAGAACTGGTCTTTGGCTCACCGCCTTGTATATATTCCAGAATAATCCCTTTTAAGAAAAGTTATAAAAAGGTCTTAATTAGATGTCCAGGGTTTTATAACACACACTGTAGACAGCAATGCTTCCACTTCTATTGCTCCACTGACTTCAGCAGACCTACTTCCCATTCTTGGAACTAGAAGGAAGTTGGCTGTTCTTGCGGAGAGTTAGCAGTGTGGTAAAGAACTGTGATGTGTTTATATGATAAAAGATATTAAATATTATTATTTATGAGCCATTTTCTATTCTGGAAATGAACAAGCTCTTTTTTCCCCAACATCTTTTTGCATGATTTCATTAGCTCTATTTTCAAAGCAGCTGTCCTGAAGATACTTGCTGTAGTTTGGCGTTCCAAGAAGCCTGGAAAATGTTTCACAAAACGAGTTATATTTATTTCAGTGTTCACAAAGGCCTGTATGCAGTAATGTATAGAAAATCATAACACACTTTCCATTTCTAGGTATGCTCTGGCACCTTTGCACCTTCTACTGAGCTGAAGTATTAAAATGTTTAACCGCATTGCTTCCTGTTTTGAAACAGTTGTTAAGGAGTTCTGCTGTTACTTGGTTTTCTGTGGGAAAGGATAATTTAGATGAATTTTTATGTCATTTTGCATTTTACCAAGTCCATAAGAAAAGTATTTAATTTAAAAGAAAGATCCGTTATTACGGTACATTTCCTGAGCTGGCCATCTCCATCTTGTTTCACTTCAGAAAATTGATTAAGTCTCCTGACTGAATTTATGATAAACGATGAAGAGAGTTTAGCAGTATAGCTTTTCAAACTGTGGTTCTGCTCAGAAAATTCACAAAACAAAGAAAGAAAAAATAAGAAATGTGGCAACTTTTTGCCAAACAGGCCTTTTGATAAAGCATATACATTTGTGGGTGCCAACTATTATCACTTTTGACTTTTTAAACTCCTTACTGCGATGCGAATAAGACTGCCTTGATTTCGCAGTGGTGAGTCAATAATTACAGCCCCGATCGGCAATGAGCTGCTTCCAGCTGGAAGTCTCTCAACCAACCGCTGTGCCAAAATATGTGCACCTGAAGCCCACCCAGCTGCAGGTGCGCGATCTTCCCGCTTACTCCTGCCCTAGCCCATGACAGCGCTGAGGAAAACCTCCATTACAGGAGGCGCCCCCACA